TGTCTGTCTGTCTGTCTGTCTGTCTGTCTGTCTGTCTTTCTTTCTTTCTTTCTTTCTTTCTTTCTTTCTTTCTTTCTTTCTTTCTTTCTGAACTGCATAATATCTCCCAAACTTCTTGATTAAGAAACTTGGGGCTGAATCAGGCTGCCTGCTATGATGCCACCCTATGGGATATGTGTTTGCAGCACAGGGTCTTCTGTTTCCAGAAATAAATAAACAAGGTCTGTTTCATAGCAACAGTGGTACAGCCTGGAGACTGAGTGATTCCTTAGATAAACCCAGACTTGGGTGAAACTACCACCAATTATGTTGGCTTGAAACATGTCTGCCAAATGAATGATAAACATAAAGAAACTTGTTTGGTGCACAAAATGCTGTGTAATGAAATCAGCAGGCACAATAAATGCAATTGAAATGTCACCACTACAAATAGCAACAAATGTTTATGACGGATGAAGTGATTTAAAAAAAATATTAAGTAAGAAGTCTATTTAAGTAGAAGTAAGGTTTCAGTTCTAATCGTATCTATTAAGTTCAGCTTACTGTCTCTGTTCTGAACAAAAGAATCTAGTAATTTCAGAGAAAGATTTGCTGGTGCTGTTGAAAACCTGCAACCAAATAATTTCTGGAAAGAAATGGGAGAGGTGCAATTACATTGCAATAGACTCCTTCTAGTACTCTGGGTTTCGCATGAGGCAAATCAATTAAAAATTTCCTGACTACACAATGTTATTGTAAGCATGGGGAAAACATGCACTTTCCTGCAGGGAATTGTTTCTTTTCAAACATTCGTCAAAAGGTTGTTTATTTTAAATCAAATATTTTAAAACTTCAAATATATTAAGACTTTTTTTAAAGAAAAAAAAAGATTAGGAATATTTTTAAAGTCCATTTCAAACCGATTTCAAATAATCAAATGCGATTCCAAATGATTCTGTCTCCTATGCTTTCCAGAAGCTCAGCAAGGATGGAGTCAGCCTGCCTTCCGTTGAGAGGAAGTTCCAAAAGCACAGTGATGCTTATACATAAAATCTTGTGTCATGTATTAACCCGTATAGCCTCTCAGGATGGTGGGGCAGGCCACAGGGCCTCTGTTGTGGATTTCAGATTCCATGCTGGTACATACCTATGAAAGATGGCAGTCTTTTACATAACCCCGTCCCAAGCTACTTAGGGCACTGTAAAATAAAAGCTTTCTCCCATTGATCTATGGAACCACCACCACCCCAGTAACAAGACAGGTGTGAAATCAATGGCCAGTATCTTTACTGTTTGTTTGTTCGTCACATTTAAATTTTACCTTTCTTCCAATGAGATCAACATATAATGTACCTGGTTCTCATGCTTAAAGATACGAAGTCTCCCAGCACCAGCTCTCACAGCTCTCAGAGAATTGCTGTGTTTCTCCAGGAAAAACAAACAAACAATGAGGTAGTGCATCTTTCTCTGTCCATTTCCAGATGGCACCAGGGCTCATTGGCTCAGTGTGAAGGTCTTCCTATGGCATGCTTCTGCATGGTTGGCATGTGACAAAGTTAGCAATGAGACGAGTGGATTGGAATAAGGGAGAGAGACGATCAACGTATAGCGTACCTGGTTCTCATGCTTAAAGATACGAAGTCTCCCAGCACCAGCTCTCAAAACTCTCAGAGAATTGCTGTGTTTCTCCAGGGAAAAAAAGTATGAGGTAGTGCAGCCCTCTCTGCCCATTTAAAAGATGGCACCAGGGCTCATTGGCTCAGCGTGAAGGTCTTCCTATGGCATGCTTCTGCATGGTTGGCATGTGACAAAGTCAGGAATGAGACGAGTGGACTGGAATAAGGGAGAGAGTGGGTTGCATGCATTTCAACTCATTGCGCCATTTGGAGTGACACAATCAGCTGGCTGGCCCAAAAGCAGTTCTATCATCCTTCCCAACTCTCTCCCACCCTGCCCCTCTGCTATCACAAGAGACTGCCCTCTGGTTGCAGATTTTGGTCCTGCAATCCCTTTGCTCCTGTTTGGACTTACTGCTGGTTAAGTGCTCTTCTGCCTAGAAGCGCTGTGGATGATGCTGGGGGTGTTAATCTCACTCAGCTTTGTGCTCCAGGGGTCTCTGTGCAGCAGCAGTCAAGAACTGGGGGGTGGGGGGTGGGGAGGTGGAGTTGCAGTGGTCTAATGTGATTTTAGCCCCCCTCACCAGGTACCACATCCCCCAGTTTTCTGGGTTTGAATGTGTGTATCTGAAAGTGAGAGTGTTGTTGGAATCCCCTCAACTTATTTTGCTGGGGGAGTTGAAAATCCACGACGAGAGCTGGTTAAGTGCTCTTCTGCCTAGAAGCGCTGTGGATGATGCTGGGGGTGTTAATCTCAGTTGAAAATCCATGATGAGGTAGTTTTGTCAGGAGTGGCTCAGGACTTCATGTCCTCCATGAGGACCATGGGCCTGTCTTAAATGGCGTCTCACCCCACCCATTCTGCAGGGCACACTTTAGACATGGTTCTCTGTGCTGGGGTAGATGTTACGGAACCAGGTGTAGAGGAATTCTCTGCAGTTCTGCTCTCATGGACAGATAGTCCTTTAGTGGGGTTTAAACTCACTGGAACTCAGAGCATCTACAGGGTTAAGGGACTGATTAAGAAGTTTAAACTCACTGGAACTCAGAGCATCTATAGGGTTAAGGGACTGATTAAGATGGTCCACCCCAGGAGGCTGATGAATCCAAATAGTTTTCTGATGGTGTTTGAGCCTGGATACCAGGTTTTGGCAGTGGCCAAGGGTACAACTGCACCTTTAAAAAATAATGAGACAGCTGTGCTCATTCCTGGAGAAGCCTGATCTGGCCATGGCGACACATACCTTACTTACATCCTGGCTGGATTACTCTAACATGCCATATGTGGGACGTCCTTTGGAAAGTGTTCAGAAACTTAAGTGAGTCCAAAATGCAGCAGGCAGATTGCTGACTGGGGCTGGTTACAGGGATCACATAACAGTAGCTCCATTGGCTGCCAGTTCATTTCTGGGCACAATTCAAAGTGCTGTTTTTAACCTATAAACAGTGTGGGACCAAGCTATCTAAAAGACTGTATCTGTAAAAGACTCTCTCCCATGGAAATCCAGGCTAGCCCCATCTTTGCTGTCCTTCTGCAAGCAAGTGAATACCTTCCTCTACAGGCAGGCTTTCCCTTAGGTATTGCATTTTTGTTGTTTTTAAGTCTGTGTTAGTAATATTTTTACGTAACATTTTAAATATAGTGCTTATTTAAATCTCTTTTTTTGATATTTATATAACTTCTTATTTTTAGCTTTCAAGCAGTTTCTATTTTAATGATGCAAGCTGCTTTAGGTCCTTTTTTGGAGGAAGGTGAGGTAAAAATATTTTAAATAAATAAATACAGAATGAACATATTGTCTGCATTGCACAGTGATATCACTGGTACAGCACTATCATAAGAAGTCCTGGGAGTTATAGTTTGATCATGTACTGTGCTAGAGAGGTCTCGTGTATTCCTTTCGATCATGGTGCTGAGAATTCTATGTACATGAGATAACTTTCTCAGTCCATCTCATGGTAGGGCTGGCCTAATACTGACAACTGAAAGAAAAGCAGTACAATGGTTTCTGCCATATCAGTAGTAGAACTGGTGTAGCTGAAGCAGTGTCTCTCAGAACTAGCTGTTCTTTGAGGTTAAATTCATTGACTTTCCCTCTTTTACTTTTTCAGTTCTGCAACAAAAAGAATTACCCTTTCTACAGAAGAGCTTTTATATAGGCAGCCATTTAAACACTGAAGTGACGACTTGTTCCACAAGTATTCTTTGAACTGCCTTCATCTAAACCACAGAACAAACCACATTCTTCTTCAGAAATGCTGAACATTATCAGATGGGTCTACTGCCTTCTGAAGAAAGAGGAAATGAAACAGCCTCCCGTCCAACATTCTCTGAGAGAAGAAAAACGACAAGAAAAATTCCCAGTGATGGATATAATCATCCATACCATTAAACAAGATCAAGATGCCTGTGAGTTGCTTAATGCTTACACAAGATGTTAAGAGTGTTGCAAATATATACTATAGTAGAGTAACAGCAGACTCATAGCCACCGGTTACTATTTCTTTCTATTCCCTATTTCTCTGTTAACACCCCCATATGCTGGCTGTGGTTTGTGTGACTGGGAGGGACTTTTCTGCGCTGAGGTGAATGTATATCTATCCAGCACTAATCAATCATTGTTTCCAGTCCTTGATTTCAAAGAGAGACCCATTTTTCTTTTTCTTTCTTTCTTTCTTTCTTTCTTTCTTTCTTTCTTTCTTTCTTTCTTTCTTTCTTTCTTTCTTTCTTTCTTTCTTTCTTTCTTTCTTTCTTTCTTTCTTTCTTTCTTTCTTTCTTTCTTTCTTTCTTTCTTTCTCTTTCCTTGGTTGGAGGCAGTTGTTGGCTGTTGAATGTTCAGCTGGTTGCTAAGTATGTGTGCAGTAAGAAAGCAGCATATACACGTCCATAATTTCATGCAATTTTACAGAAATGCTTCTTATTCTTTGTCCTACAAATGTATCAGAGCGAGTTATTGAGACTCTAAGTGCCAGTTAATGAGAAAAGGGTGGACTCTGGGGAACTTGTAGCTATTCAGCTCTCTGAGTCTGTGTACTTCTGCTGTGCAGTCAAAAAGAGAATTTTACCAGAAATTCAAAACTCAGTGACAAATCCAAGGTTTCTATCGCATCCTCATACCGGCATGCAAACAAGAAGCCAGCGATAGTTTCTGCATGCCAGAGCTGTAACTAACCATTTTGGCACCCAAGGCTTCTTTGTCTTGTTAGTTTAGCTTCAGTTGTGTGAGACTGACATACACAGGGAGAGGATGGAGGAATGGGAAAGTTTGCACACTAAGCTTACCCGTTTTGCTCAGGTGGGACCAGATGGGTGTGCTTCGGGCAAGCAGGTTGGCACCATTTCAGCAGCAAATACCAATAGGCGGGTTCTCATTCTCACCATTCCAGCACCAAATCTGGCACCGTCTAAAGCCCCAGTGGCTCTACCCTCTTTACAACCATGGCACTTGCTATCTTACAATATCAGTTGTGGTCTTGCCTGGGAAGGAGAAATTGTTTCCTCCCCCTCCTACTTCTTGCTTTGACAATGGTATGTTTTCCCAGCGCAGGACCTCTGGGAAAGACAAGCTGTTGGTAGGATTGTCATGTATCAGGATACTACCCTTCCCACCCTATGATTCTCAGAGTCTCCAGAGAGGGCTACATGTCTCAGACTGAGTGGCACCAGAGGAAATGAATGGTTGATTTTTATATATCAGGTGATTTTAAAACCTGGCCGCCAGCTCCATCCATTCCCAGCTGGCACCAGAGCACACTGGCTCAGAGTGAAGGTGTTTGTGTGTGTGTTCTGCTAGTGCAACATCTGTGACAGCCAGAAGTGAGAGAAAGGCACTAGGGAGGCAGCTGATACATATATGCATCCATGGTCACTTGAAGCAAGGGAGGGACTTTTTTGTTGCATGAATATATTCACAAGCACAGGGAGACTATTCTACTGCTATACCATAAGGGTTGGTCCCATGGCAACACAAATCCCCCACCCCTATGACATCACAAGTGGCCTAACGTCCGGTCTCAGGTTGTAGCCCCGAACATTCAGGGAATGGGAAGCTACTGACCTGGCAACCCTTGTTGGAAACCATTCCATCATCTACACAGTAATTGTCTAAGTACTTTCATTTTGCATGTAATTAAGGACAGCCCAATAGTGAAGAAACCAATTTAAACCAGGTGATAATCAGACCAGTCTGAGCTGGAAGTATGTGGCAAAATGTCACCAGAGTCAATAAGAAAATGAAAAGAATCTGAGAAAGTTATGATAGTCTATGTACTGTTTTTATCTTCCAGGCTCTTCCATCTCCTGCCCTTCTGCTTTATTTTGGAGAGTAAGCTGCTCAACTTGTTTTAGAATCATGTACATATTCATTTTTTTAAATTAGAGGGACATCTTTCTTTCTTTCTTTCTTTCTTTCTTTGTTTGTTTGTTTCTTTCTTTCTTTCTTTCTTTT